TTGATTTATATCGATCCACAAAAAGCATATGAACTGGATCGAGAAATCGCTAAGAGAAAAAAAGTTAAAGATTTTTCTGGGACTGGCGGTCTCAGAAATTTGTTATTACCAAAACCTACGATTATTATTGATTCTCAAAACGCATGTGATCTTGACCGGGATCTCACTTTACAGGAGCTTTTTTATTGGCCTGAGGGTCTTTATCAAAATGTTGACGGATTGTGGGATGCTTGTAAAAAAGCTGACTATAAATTTCTATTTAACAATATAAAAAAATGGCTTGATGGCCAAGCAATGTATCAAATTTTTCGTTTTCTACCAAAGAATATACCTTATGCTAGTTACTCTAAAATTACAAACCCGAATTCTGTACACCAGTGTGATTTAATTGAAATATCATATGATGAAGATGTAGATACAGGTTTGTTGGATAATGGCCCAATATTTTACTATGTACTATTGGTTATAGACTGCGCGACTAGATATAAAGATTTCATTTTTTTAATATCAAAAAGTAGTGAAGAAGTTGTGGAAGCATTTAAGAGTATATATAATAATCCTGACAATCCTCTTAACTGGGCTCAGCTATTGTAATATGACAAAGGTCGTGAGTTTATGGGAAGCATGACAATGACAATGGATGAACACAATATTAACATCTGAAGAATTAAAGCACGTTTCAGACATACAAGCTTGGCTATGGTTGATCATTATGCCGAATTATTCGAATTAAGAGTTTTTAAAAATGAATATGCGATAGAGTTTCTCTTATCTACTGGCGAACGCTGTAAAGAATGTGAACAATTTGCAAGAAGAATTGTTAATAACATGAATGATACTCCTACTCAGTTAATTGGAATGAGTCCCAATAACACCACAAAACTTGAGCAAGTGTATTCCAAACCATCGGTAAAATATAATCGTCCAATAGGTGTTGATGAACTGCAACTATCAAAGGGTACTACTATCCGATTTTTGCTTGCTCCTGGAGAATGAGAAAATGATCTTTTCGAATGACGCAGAATCACAAATCCAATATGGTCTCCCAGCCTATATAAAATCCGAAGAATTGTTGTTGGAAAAAATCCTTCCATGCCCATTTTATATTATTTAGATAAATCGGGACCTAGGCGTCTCTTTGTAAGAGAACAATTAATGCATATTAAGGAAGAGCCTATGTTGCCTTCTAGGTGGATATTGAGAGATAACCGAATGTATATAAGGCGCTCTTTATAAATGTTTCTAAGTCTACTATGTAGTAGGGTATAGTAATGAGAATTACTCCTTCCTTGTAGTATAACGCCCTCTTTTCCCAATCATGACAAATTTGTACATCTAGATTTATTTGCCCTTGCGGGTGAAAAAAAGGCACGATTTGATAATGCTGATTACCACTATATTCGAAGGCCAAGCCTAGCTCCTCATTATACCCATCTAGATGTAATCCTTTTAAGAATTTAGGTTTTCGAAGAGGAAATTTTTTATGTAATAAATCCTCAAATATATACCGGCATGTTCTTTCTAGTACATTAGGGCAAATATTACACTATCAGTAATTCTGTTTCATATTTTTATATGACACCTTCATTGATGTTTTTTCTTACATGCCCATAAATATATATTAGGACTAACTTTAGCTAAGCATCTTCCTTCATGCTTTTGGGCATATGCCAAAGCTTTAGTGTCAATTTTGTCTTGCATTTTATAGGTACAATAGAATATCACATACAGAAATTTGCGAAATAGGCTGTTTTTTTCGCAAGCTCAAAAAAACATATTTTTAAAATTGCTCTTCTCCAAATTATTTTTTTTCGAATGAAATGAGAAAAAAAGGGAAAAATGCCAAATTTAACTCGGCTACTACTCTCAATGATCCTCTGCTCAAGTATACATCCTTTATTTTTTCCAACTCCGATATACATATTATAAGTTTTCTAGCAGGGGTGTAGAAATTTCAGCTAAGAGTACTTATCTATATAATTCGATGATTTCATCTATCTCTACTTCGGACAAATCATCAAAATACCTAGAATGTTTATTGTAAAGTTTTTATATATTTTTTAAGCCATTTTTTTGTCTTGTTCTGGGAATAGACATCAATCTGCTTCTCTTTTTCATCTGAATCTTTAAGTTGTGTGATTTTATGTGAAGAAGGTAGTTGATGTTTTTCATCCTCATTGATAAAGCGTGCACACATTCCAACCGTAGTGCCTAAATAATAATTGATATCTATTTCCATGTTTCGCTCTTTTGCTATATCTGCGTACTCCATATAATCTCCAACTCTGTGTAGTACCTTTCTACCCTGTTCATTATAGAGGGGCAAGCCTTTGATGACTACATAGCTAAACTGTTCACCAGGATCAGAAATCCTCTCATTTCTATTTTTCATACATCCCAAAAAGCAATTGTTGCAGAGATTTTTTTTCTTAGGCTTCCATATACCCATTACGATAAATTCATTAAAATTTCATTCCTTGTTCTGTGCTTCTCTATGAGTTTCTTCAACAATTTTGTGAATTGAGCGTGTATTATTTATATCCATAGCCTCTCTCATAATCCTTTCTCCAATGAATTTGAGAAGCTGGGATTTACCTTGCTTTACGCTATCTATCTCTTTTATGAAAAGGTTTTTCGGTTTAAAGTTTACTTCATCTTTATGTCCAATCCCAAAATACTTCTTTTTGCCAGTAAAGCAAACGGGAAATAATACCTCTTCATATGCCATATTTAGATAAGAGATCCCACTTTTTATCCTAAAATAGGCATTTATTTGATTGCGCAACTTTTCTATCACAACCATAGTAATTTTGACCATTTCAGCCCAGTACGCTTCTTTAGAAAGTTCTTTTCTAGAGAAGGCCTCATCGTATTTATTGTAATATCTATCTGGCAGGTAAGATACAAAGAATCAGTATCACTATATTTTATCCCAAACTCTTTCTTTGTTACGAATTCTGCCACAAGATTAAGGTTGTATTTTCTTGCTGAAGTAGTTTCTCCAGCTAATGCACAAAGAAAGATTGGAGATTTTGAGTTTCCAGCCTCCCTATAGAAAGTATTCATATATACCTTCAGAGCTTTTTGCTTCGAATCAAAATAATCATAATCGAAACATATAGATAAATATTCTAAATTTAAACTCTCTGGAATCCTTTTGCCTCTTTTTTTAGCTGGACTTATTATCTTCCCAAGTCATTCTTTCTTCTTTCCTAATGAGGCAAGATGTGCTTTAAGCTCTACTCTCTTGTTGAATAAATCCTCTAATACAACAGAATATAAACCCTTCTTTTTAAATTGATTATCATACCTTACACTCCAAGCTTGGATGGTGCGGTTATTAAATGGAAACTCAATCTTATGCAACTTGCTTCTATTATTTTGCGCAATATAAGCCTCTCTATGTGTTAGTATTATTTTATCTGGAGAGAGATTGTAAGCCATGATGAGACTGGGATATAATGAAGCAAAATCTAATCCCATTACAGGTTTTCTCGTTTCAATCCCTTTTTTAGGTAGAAATACGTACGCGCCAGGATACTTACCCTCTTCTGTATTTTCAGATATCCTTGTGCTAATTATCATATCTCGTTTAAAAGCATAAACACCCAGAAGGTTTCGTACCTTCATTCCATTCGCACAGTAGTGTGAGTTGAATAAAGATACATAAGCTATTGAAGTGACTTCTCTGTAATTATTTATTTGACTTAGCTTGACTAAAAGCTCTTGACAGCGTAGTGCATCTATAATACAGTAATGTGCTACTTCACGCATATTTCTTGCAGTTGACGAGAAGGAGCTTTTTTTCGCTTCTGAATAGATTTTCCACATTTTATCGTATAGCATGTCGGCCTTAGTCTTAAGACCGCATTTTTCTAAGAAGAATTTAAGTAAGCCTTCTTTTTCGACTTCAGAACGAGGAAAATGTCTTTTGAGGCACACCCGGGCATCAATTGGTATGCAATCTGGCAGTTTAAGGAAGCTAGAAGTAAAATCCTCTTCCGCACTAATTTTGATTTTAATTGGACCGCCTATATATTCTTTCTTCTCTGGATCCTCCTCGCCTTCCTTAGGAGGCTTAACAGCATTCTTTGCCTTGAAAACATTTTCAGATTTTGCTCTTATCTTTCCGCAATATTTCTATTTTAGGATTTCTTCTTTTGTTTCAAACTTTCCTGTCATTCGCTCCCATATCCATTCGAGTATATCGAATTGATATACTCTCTCCATAATAAAACACCAATCATAGTTAGAATCATTAAACCCAGCTTGGATATTAGGTGCAAATGCTCACCAGCAGAGGGCAAACGCTTTTAGCAAATTTTCTTGGTTTCTACAAATGATTGTAGTCCAGCATAGATCTGGTTCTGTCTCAACATTGACAAGACATATTTGCTTTAGTGGTTTTGGATCATCTTTCCAATACAATGTCATACAAATCATAAAAACATTATAATTCAGATCAAGAACTTCGGGAAATTCACCCAACTCTTGTAATTGTGTCTCTATATCCCACGTGAGGACAAGAGTACGATCCCGTAAGAGAGCTGTAATAGGGAATCGATCACTTATTGTTGTAAAATCCTCTAGCAGACAGAAATCTTTTATAGACACATAGAATTCATGCAGACAGAGCGGGCTGGTCCATTTGCCTTTTTTGCATATATATTTGTTTATTGTAGACCACCCAGAGAGTTGGATTCCGTTTTCTCGAGCCACTTTTCGGTAGAATGAGTATAAATCATCTAAAGCAGTTTCGAAATTATTATCTTAAACAGCTTTGATGGCTCTCTTTTTCTCTCCAGTACTATTTGTATAAATTCATAAATATAGTTTTTTTTCAGTTTAGTATCCGCGGAAAGGAAATGCTTTAATATGCTTCATTTTAAATAATTTCACGATGCCAGAAAGAATTTTGCTCACCTTTTCTTTGCATTCATCTGGAGTTTCTCCATCTGGTACGTGAATGTCAAAAAAAACCTGAATGTCTATAAGAGTTACCAGTGCCTTTTGGCCATTAATAAGGCGACCATAAAGATGCAATACATAGCGATAAGTTCCATTTATCTTTTCTGTTGACCCTTCATTCTTAATGGCCATAAATGGAATATCACAATGATTTGCTATTTCATTTTCAAGAATTGCAGACAATCTCTCATCACCATTTTCTCTAACTATTTCATCTAGAGTTGGAAAATTCGGCAAGTACTTTTTTCCAGAATAGCGAATAAGTTGGGCTTCCATTTTATCTTTTCTAGCCAGAGGCTGGAAAAGGGTGGGGCCGTCCAAATTCTCTAAAAGCTCGGATTGGGTCATTTTTTATCAAGCAATTTAAGGTAATTTATAGTTATACCAAATCTCAAGGTATATTATTTGTAAGAAAAAAGTTTAAAATAAAATTAATTCCTCAAGATTATTAATCAATATATGCAAATGGCATTTTTTGTTCATATATCCTTAGAACTGGAGAAGTGTGTAATCGGGGATGCTATCATCCAAAGGGATGTAAAATCTATCGGAATTCTAGACAAGTTCTTTGCAAACAACTCGGGTGCAGTAAATGGACTAATTCTATATATGATTTTTGCGATAATCATACAAAAAATCATAGAGCGAAGGAACACTACCAACAGAAAAAGCTGGCTAAGCTAGCTGATAGGTTCACATAGTGAACCCCACTCAAATAGTTTCAGGTATATTAGGATGTAAAATAGGCCAAATTTTTTGTTGTCACAAGTTAGAATTCAAACTTGTAACACAAACGATAGGCTCTTTAAGAATTCTAGGCCAAAAGAAAGCTTTCTCAATAGGTGTCACAGGTGTCACAGATGTTACAGGAGAAATCAGCTTAAAGTTTTTAACTTTTTTTTATTTTTTATAACATACTACATATATATCCCAAAGGGTACTATAGAAAAAAATTAATTTTTTCTCTAGAATTTATTACTCTTTTACTTGTGACACTTGTGACACTAATCAAGAAAGAA